TCATCCACTGAGTTAAATGGAAAATGGATGACTTTTTTGGCTGACGCGACAAGATCATGCTTGATTCTTCATTTTCTTCTTGTGTTACGGCTTAGTGCGGTAACAGCGGATCGAGCAGATTGACTGTCTTTATCGTCAAGCCTCTGTGAGATGTAAGAGCCAGTCGTGCTGTCGTTCTCTCCTTTATGCGGTACTTAACAATGGGGCGACCGCAGGCTGGTTCGAATGCCACCCTAGATTTTGCCACCGCAGCTATAGTTGCATTGGTCCCGGGGATCAACGGCTTTAGAGGCGGCGACGACAGTAAGGCGGAGGGTATTATTTAGGAAATAAATTGTGATCGAATCTATTTCATATGTGGCCATATATATGCATACCTATTGGAGCACCGTCTCTTGAGTGTTCCGCTGTTTCGAATACAGTGCATTAGTAATTTCGAAAATGAAATGATTCATGAACTCACGGCAGTCGCATCAGAAAAAGTCGAAACGTAACAGACCAAGACACAGAAAAAGGCAGGGATAGAATCGGCGACTCCAAGTAAACACCTGCAGAAAAAGAGCTCGAAAAAATACAACGTAGGACAACGTTGAAGACCTTGACGCTTGACACTCATACAACAAAACGACCAGATAGTGTGCCCGCCAATGAAGCAGGTTCTCCTCGTAGCTACCGTTCATCGATCCCAGCGGGAGGCGACTGGCGATCAAACTACACTTGAGCTGCGTGCGAGCTTCTGTGCGTTAGCATATAAGTTTCTTTCTATTGCGGTCTACCAGACGTTACTAGTAGCGATAACGGTCATCTTGCATGTGTTATTCCCTTTGGTTTTTGCTCGTGTTTTCCCGGCTGGCGTCCACAACACCCCAGCACTGCTCCATCAATGTTCCCACCACCATCTTCTCTGTTGAATGTTGCTGACGTTAGCGTGTGTGGTAAAGTATCAAAATCAAATAGTCGGTGTCTTTCTCTTCTTTTTTTTATGTCACTAACGAATCGACGATACGCAATGACCACACGAGTTACGGCGGAGACAACAGTACACACGCTCGCACCAACCCGTATACCTATGTACACTCAAACGAGGCACATTTCTCCCTTCCCAAACCATTATATCGTAGAACCTAATCCCCTCTACAGGTTCAGCTACCTGAGTAATAACGTCTGATACAATGCTATTGTCCCTTTTCGAATCTCATCGTCTGAAGCCAACTGTAAACCTCCAAGCAGCCTTTATTCTATCTGACTAGCTTTAAGGATCAGCTATTGCAATCAAGACCATACATCAAACTGAGCACATGCCGTCGTGTTAAGAAGCATTTAATTTTGTCAAGCAAAGTGTCAGTAGATCAGGCAGTGAGTTGCGCACTCGTAAGGCCAGTCCAACGTGAACAAATCGATACATCAAATGTTCTAAATCCTTATGTCTGCTTTGTCGTACAAATTTCTGTATCGTTGCTTTCGTATACGCCGCTTTGTCTGTGTACTGTTAGTATGCAAAAGAAAGAGAAACCAGAAGTTAGAAACGGCACTTTTTAGATCAGCTTGATTCAAGTTCGACTGCCTGTGCTGTCTTTGTGATATGAAATATTTTTCATTTTCTGAAACATTAGTATTCTTATCACTATGGCAATTCCTGTGTGGCGGACAAGACATGTTTGAAAGTTGGCTACCGTAAGCACATTTGCAGGTTGTAACGTATCTTGTTCTTTTTTTCGTCGACGTAAATCATAGACGTTAGATGAGTGAAAGGCCGTAACTTACGTAGCAGCGAATGCGAGAAATCGGATACGCATAGACTTGCTCGCCTCCTTAGATCCTATCACCGCGGGACAATTCAAATTTTTTCGCTGTTACCAGCGCTATGTGTCGTCTGGTTAGCGTAATTCCGGCTGAAGTTCCTTGTTGATGTCATTTTTCATATGCACGAAAGAGCCCGCTGATATCATCAAGGATGTATGATTACCGAAATTACAAATATATATAATTACAAATATGTAATAAAAAAAAAGAAAGACAGAAAAAGTCAAATGCTTCTTACTTTTCAGTACCGCAAAGCGCAGGAGAGCGGAACCGCGCCGGGATGGGCGCGCAGTTCCTGTAGCTCAAAACGGGGTTGAGTTACATGACAACGTATAGTACAAAAAGACTACTAAAGTTAATTAAAATGTCACGCTTCGTTATAGTATTCCTATCATAAGGAATACTAGATACTTCTAGAAAAAGGAGAAACTATGCCGGACGCCTGCTCTTTATTCAATCTTTTCTGACGAGCTGATCCTACTTTATTTGAGCTATAACGAATTATCTACACTCTAGGCAATGTTTGCTACGGCCATGTGTTTTTCTGCATCGTGACGTTTGAAGTGTATCCCACTAAATGATTGCACGTTACGTAACACTACTCTATCAAGCTGCAGGACTCGAATGGTCTAGTGAGTTAGTTCACTTCCAATAAGCCCAGAGTCAGCTTCTGTTTCATGGCCTTTCTCAAATTTGAGGTGCATGTCCTTCCGGTGCTGCTGTGATGCCTGTTGTCAATGGTGAGTAGCGTCCTTATTCGTTCATCGGTGACGATGAACGGTGACGACCCGCGCGATTGCTTTAAGGCTGATCTTGTTACCATAAATAGCTTAACCGAGTGGTTAAGATTGGTGATCGGAGCTTCTTTAACTCGTATAAATTAGACGTAATCGAACAGAATCCGAAGTTATTGGGTAAGTAAAATTGTACCCTGTGACGTCAGTTAATATGCATGTTTTGCCTTGGCTGTGCGGTATATAGTTGAACGTTAATGCAACGTTAATCGAAATACAAATTACAAGCCGCACTTCTTTCGAAAGTTGGCTTTCTATCCACGGACAGATCGGTGTAATTTTGTACAGAAGCTGGCTAAAAAAATCATAATTATAGCTGTCTTTTAGTAATACTGCTGACAACCGTTTATGATGTGTTGGCGGTCATAATTTAAATACTGGCAGTTTGTAATATTTTTACAGTATCCTACATATAATCTGTAATAGTCTCTTCATCAATTTACAGCCGTCGTTGAGCCACTTGCATAATGTGGAACTAACTTCGAACAATCTGCACCCGTGAAGTTTTGTAAAAAATGATAGAGCCTATACAATAATAACTTTGATGATTAATTATACTTCAATTCAAAATAGCGCCGTGTTAGTCTTCGTGTTACCAGAACGCGCCGTAAAAATGGTGTTGTATTGCCACTTCGAGTAAATCTAAATGGCAATATTGAAAAGCCCAGAGCAGAAATAAATGCCCCACGTATGTAGTAAGTGAATGATTTTTTTGCTCGATGCTGCGTCCTGCACTTTAAGCCTAAAGGGTAAGCGCACACTTTTCGACGGTCTGCACGAATGTTTCGGAACCGAACGACTACGAACGTATCACCTACTTCGACTCTTGAGAGCCTTTCCGCTTGTCTGTCTAACAAATGATCACATCTGAGGTTGGTTGACGCTGGCTTTGAACAAGGTTTGATGTATTTTTATCAATGCAATTCAATTTCTATTCGGCGTCTTGAACTTCTCGAAACGAACCATCAAATCAGTCGCTAGATTGTTCATTCTGTGCGTCTTCATTAACCATTTGTTGAGCCGAGATCTTTGGTTGCCTTATGCACCAGCCACATTAGGCCAGCCGTCTAGTGACCGCTTTTTATTTTTAATCTCAAAAGCTTGCACTCAGCTTGGCCTGCACCTTCAGCCAGTGTCAGTGTCTTCAGGGAGCCTAATCCACAGCTCAGTTCATGCTTATTAAAGGTGAAAGCATCAGACACAACCTTTTTCAGTACTTGAACATTTAAAAATGTCTGCCATGCAAACGTATAATCTGCGCTATAAAGAAAAACTCACACAGGCGTATAATCTGTGAAATATCAGCGGCATATTGTCCGGTGCGCTTAATGCACTGGTCTGCCTGCCGACAAACACAACTCAAAATTTAAACTCACCCCCCAGTCCTCTCGTGTGTTATTTTCGACGTCTGACGCTGACGGACATCGAACTAAGGCTATTCGTAAGTTTCCCGAGTGTAGATACACCGATCATCGCTACGTATATACCGCGGATCATCGTTTTCTTTTTTCCGGTTGGTTTATGATAAACAATATTTCTGCTCATTGACTTTAATCAAACTAAATATCTCAAACGGTATGGACTGTTCACCTTGAATACATTTTGCGTTCGATAATTGCATAGGATTACTTTATCCTTGAAAATGCACTACCTTCTTAATGGGTATACTGAACAACAGCTTACCACGTTCGGAAAGCAATAAAAGTTACATTTCTACTCGACAACTGGCGTTTCCGTGGTGTTATGTAATTAATTTAAGTGTATGCTTTAATATTTTTTCCTCCTGTTATAGTGCCGTCGTACCTGATTACACTTGGGCGTCCTATAAGCATGCAAAAGTAGGCCAGCCTACCTTGACGTTGATATATGGTTTTATCATAACGTATGGCCAATATTTATGTTTCAAGCTATTCGGGTTCTCCGACCGTTTCCGAATCTTGAGCGGATTTTTCCTCTTTTTTTTTTTTTTTCATTTCCTCGACAAAATGCCTAGCACAGCTCTACACCGGCGTCATCGACAGTTCAGTGCATCAGCACACGCGTATGTATTTACAGGTATATCTCTGTGTGTACGCTAACGCTTTAGTGAGCTCATCTGCTGATTGCTGATCCGCCGTAGCTCTTCTTTTCAATAACATGTCCGTCAACAATTTTGCGTGTAAGCACATTCCACCCCCTTTTTAATCAGTCCTCACTAATTAACCCGACATGATGTGCTATGTACGTATGATGCCTGATGGCGCGAACTGCCAGCCAGAGCTGAGCAGGAGTCATCTCTTCAGGGGTCAATCAAATCGATCATGGTTATAGATATGTACATATCTACGAGTATTAATATATATGTACTTGTGAACGTTCTATTAGAACGGATAGATGCGTATAGACAGGCCCCACTACTACAGAACCCTATCCAGTGAATTTATCCATGTATTTGCGAGTGTATATAAACAAATATAAGAAAAACATGGCAGTCCTTGACTATTCTACTTCGGATTTATTTTTCTGTTTATCTTTCTCATAGCCTTTTCGTCATTTTGTTGCTCTTTTTAGTTGTGACGTACGACGGACACACACCGCCTCTCTGTCTTCTTGGGATCGCGGGGCAACGTCTGTTTGTATATTTGATCTTCCTTCATCACCTTTGCATCCATCCGGTCTACAAATACACGATTTCGTCTTCCTTTTCCGATTCGCACTCTCTCATAGCACTACATCACTGTATTTACTTGTGTACAACACCACTTGAACCACCACACTGCTAACGATGGGGCTCTAGGGGTAAACATGATTAGTATCAGCCATAACACTTATTATCAATAATATTGTTCGTAATATTGTATTACGATGTATATGTATAATATATTCCTAGCTCGAAGGAGCGCGGATATCCTAATTTGCACTCGGCGATAATTAAGCGTATTGGGTGTGACTTCAGGACCGTTTTCCGCGCTGCTGTTGGCGTAATTTTAGCATAGTTCTATAATATGGGAAAGAGTTCATTATTACGTGTAGCTGTCAAATTGACTGAGACGGCGGGCGAGGTCGTCGTCTTTTTTTCGCGCGTTCTCCTTACGACGCCTGCCGGGCGTTGGTAGTGTGGAGCTTTGGAAATCGCCCGGCCGAACTGGTTCACAGAAACGGCTAGCTAGACATTTGACACTAGGCAGTTTATCCTGAAGATCTTGCTCGATGACGGTCTTCTTCATTGGCGTGATATCGACGTCCTGCGGCGCACGCGATGACTCGACTCGCGCGAACACTCGTCTTGAAAAAGTTTCACAAGTTCCTTCGGCTCCTCCTGTGCTTCGACGACGTCGAGGCTGGGGAACCGGTGTAGGGTAGATTTGTACACCGAACGAACCACGGGCCGCTTTCAGCAGCACAACGCCTGACAGATCGGGGCATTCGGCAATTGGCTCGGGAGCGTGGCCCGCCGGTGGCGGCCGAGGAAAAACTTGCGTGAAACAGCGGCGATTCTTTGGCACGGGGATTGTATCGACGGCGGAGCTGGGAAAATTTGACGATTCAGCTGGCGAAGCGAATATGTCGACCTTCTGCTGCGAACTGCTCATGTTGAGAAGATTGCGTTTCGCAGGCATCGGAGAAACCGGTCCACGCTGCGCTCTTTCTAACGCACCACTTCGCCTTTTCGGATTTGGTAGAGTGCTGCTTTGGAAACGCTGCACCCTTTGTTCTACATCACTCTCAATGGACATGCTTTTTCGTAGGCCCAATAACGCCGACGAGCTTTCTGAAGATTCTACTGAACATATCGTGGGTCGTCGGGTTACTTCAAGTTTGGATGTAGGTGCCACGCAATAGATGTCTTGGTCTCTATCTAATTCCGAATTCTTTTCAATATGAGGCTGTTCGAAATGTTTCACTATCGACGGCACTCCTGACTTTACAGCTCCTGTTGCTGTCACCGCTGCCGCTGCATTATCACCAGTGTTTCTATTATCGTTAGTGGCTTTTCTCAAGGTTCCAGCGCTATCGGCAGTTGCTGCTTCCTCCAAGGCAGCAGCCTTGTATGACGCTCTTCTAAGGTCCACCGTCGTCTGCGGTTGCTCACTCGCTGACGTTAGGCGTGCCCTCTCCTCAGCAATCGAATTGCTACTGTAAGGTCCGCTTGATCGTTGTTGAATAACAATCGTGGCGGCTGCTGCGGCGGCGGCGGAGTGGTGGTCGTCGTGACACGACGGCTCAGCGCTAATACTCCGGTCCTGATCGAGACTAGTCTCGCTCAGTCGCGAAGCTGATGCAGACTCGCGATTTGTGAGGCCGTACGACTGCACCGACGACGCTGAATCGGTCGAAGCTGTCGAGCCTCTGCCGGAGGAGATGGATGCACTTACGGCAATTTCTTCACGTTCCGTCGTCATCGTCGGAGCTGCTTCCTTTGGCTGCAAGACTGCGCGTATTTTCTGGGTGGGAAGTGGCGCATCAACCGCAGTGCAGCTATCTACAGATGATCTGATGTCGTGGTCATGCTGATGGTCCGATATGATGATGTTTTGCCGGCATTTTTGCAATTGCTGCTCGTTTTGATTCAGTTCTTTCAGTTGTAATCGTTTCTCCCTTGGTTGCTTAGCCGTTAAAAGAAGTGTTTCTGGGCTTAACAACGATTTATCGATATATGTCTTAGTCAGGTTGGTTGAATATGCGTTAATTTGAGATTGTGGCTCAGCAGACGACGAACAACCTTCGGGACTACGGCGAAACGAGAACTCTGTTGATACGCTGGTGGGCACGTCAAGCTCCTCTTCAGTAAACGACGGAAATGAGTTACTTGTTCCAGTTGTGTCGATACGGTCCCTGAACTCAAGGCACTCTTCGAACATTTGCAGTGTCTCCTCTTGGAACGCTCTAACGGAAAATTCATCGTAGGCAACATTACTACTACGGCCCTGTGGTGATTGACGGTCGATATCTGCGCTATTACCACTAGATCTCATAAGCATTTGATGAATATTGTTATTTTTGATTTCTTCAATGTTTTCCATAACGACTTTACCATCAAATGTTGCTTTTGCCCGTGGTCCTATAAGTGGTTTTTGAGGCTCTCTCCGTGGTGCCGGCGTAAGCACAAACGTGTTATCGAGTGTGGCATCGCTTCGCTGTGCTGTTTCAGCTCTACTACTATGTTTGTGGGTCTCAATGACGATACTGTGATCACCGGAGCCGTTCACGGTTACGATTGTGGTACCTGCTGGCCTTGCGGAGCCCGAAGCTGTTGACTGCTCACTAACTGTGACCTTGCCATGCGCATGTCCGACAGTTGAGCTTTTGGCTTGCAATAAAGGTTTCATTACAGCACCAGTCACCTGAGGACGATCAGATTCGCTTTCGGTAGACGAGAAGTCAAGAGAAGCAACGGAATTATTTTCAGAGAGTTCCGATAATATGTCAATATCAAGACTGCCCAACGTTATACCTGTGCCAGGATCTTTAGGTTTAGGAATGACCATTTGCACAGGTTCAAGGTTAAAAGCTTCCATTCGAGCCACGGATTTTCGCCTAAATAGCCAGTTATCTTCCCACTCCGTGGTCATCATCGGCACGGCAGCGGGGTTCTGATGATCCGTGACATCACTTGTACGTTTGGTTCGCTCCAAGCTATCAGGTCCCCGCCAATTATAGTCCACGATATCAACGCCGTACTCCGGAAAGGGCACGCCTCCGCATGCACCGGCGGAAAATGGTTTTAGACGATTTTCCTCCGCGTGTTTTTTCGATTGCCCTTGCATCTCAACTTTCGAAATATGCCAGTCATCGTGGTCGCCATCACAAAAGACGGTGAGCGTCGTGCTGGACTCATAGCTATAATCGCCTTCACCAAGCTTTGTGTTGAGAGCCATTGCTTTTTCATTTTTCGACAGACTAGAAGTAAGGACTTTGTTAACACAACTCATTGCTAATGAGTTTTCGTATGTCAGGGAAGCCTTATCAACGTCCTGCTCTCGTGCGACAAGTTTAGGCTTTTCTGGCAGTTTCCTTAGCCAGATATCTACTGCACTTTTGAGGGAATTTATAAGGTTCTTCAAGTGGTCATGCGCCGCCGACAGGTCATACGCTCTGCGGTCGATTAGTTCGACGTCTATAAGCGACGTCTTGAGGGCATACAGCAGCGCTGAGAGAAATGACACGAACGCTTCATTCAACTTAGGGCGAAATTCATCGACCAGCTCTTCATAGCCAGGGTCAGTAACTAATTTGCTAATCGGAGCGGAGCTTAGTGGGCCAGCTAGGAAGCCCTCAAGCACGAGCTCAAGGTGATTTCTTAGCTCGTCCACGACGTCGCTTTCCTGATCCAGCTTTTCTAATAAGTTCATCGCGTTAGTGTTTCGTCGCTATACAGTGTACAACCATTTATTATGTCTTGGGTTATTCGTAGCGAAGACTGGCCGAAAAGGCTCATGAAGGTAGTGTTATCCAATCGCCAAATGTCAAAACTGCAGAACTTCGTGGCGTAGCCAACAATGCGGCATCGAACCTGTACCTCCCGGGTCTACGATAGGCATCTTCCCGTGACAACGACGTACGAGTGGCCGCTTCACCTGCGGCTTCAAGTTGTCCTGCAGTTTGCCGATAGGTTATCACTCAACTGAACAAAAGGTTAGGTTGGCGTTTGCCACCGTAGGGGATAGACCGCCTTCAAGGAACATATTCATTTGCGAGCAACATCGCAGATTGGCAAGAGGCCCGCAATCGAGGTGGCGCGAACCTTCTTGAAGCGCAACAACAGCAGGAGCTCGAGAATCGCGCTAGTTCGCACTTAAACATTAGTTGATCTGGCCCCGTGATCCGCTCAAGCTTGTTCGTATAGCAGAGAGTTCAGTTCCAGGTCGTGACGAAGGCACGTATGCCTGGTCACGTTTCGCTTTTTCGGATACACGATTGCTAATACTGCTGGCGTCACTACTCTCGATTCACTACGAGCACTACAAGCAACGTTTAAGGGCGCGATTGTACGGGAGGCCACAACCACAACTACAACGACCATATAATCCTGCGGTAGTCGCAATCGTTGCTTCCGCTGTGGTAATCCTTATGCCAAACGAAATTTTCATAGCAGCACATACTAGACACCCTCCAAACCGGCGAAAAACATATGTACGCACTACACATTGAAAAATCACACCCACCTATATGTAACTTAATCCTTCAGGCAGAGATTTACGATAACTAGATCTGTACATATTGAGCGATGCTTTCCAACGCGCTGTACTTCTGGGCACACAGCTAAGTGCATGGCACTCGCGCACACCGTTACTTTTAGAGCACGTCCGTTACTCTTACGAGTGGCGTTCGTGTACGGCGGGCACCACTCTTCTCGATGAGGATCGCCGTCGTCATGTATACGGACGTATATCGATATTCAAACCAATGCAGCCTGCTACCCCTGCTGCACTACCAAAGCAGTAAAATTACATAGAGTTCACAGCCAACAACTGTTATTATCATCAGGTGATGATGATGATCATCGTCAACCACGCACAGTCAGACGCATTCAGGACCGGTGGAGAGTTGGATCAGCAATACAGTTGTAGTGAACCAGAAGACGTTGTGGCGAGCGTACCGTTACCGTGGGCTAAGCGACATATCGCATGCTTGCTGGCCGGCGTTACCGTGATGTCCTGTATCTGACAGTCGTTTCGTCAATCCACATATGTACTATTCCTATTTGTCTGTGGTCGTTGAATCGCCCGATTTCGTCAAGGGGCAACAAGGAGCTCCTGGCCACTCGGCCTCCAGGGCGCTTCTGACCGACTGCTGCTGTCGGTTTTTGCTGTGCTGGTGATGGCGATGGTAGAATTGGCTGAAGCGCCGCTGCGACGGCGGCCGGCTGCAGCTCACTCTTCGTACCTACAGCAGCAGCAGCAGCAGCAGCAGAAGGTCTTTTATACCAGTGCCGTCATTGGTCGACCGCTAGCGGCGGACTGTTGCCGTGGATGTCTGTTGGTGTTGTTATTGTCGTCATCGTCGTCTTCGTCGTCGCTGTTGTTGTTGTTCCCGCTGCAGCGACAGAGCGAACGGGCTACTAACAGCGTCACCATCACCTCTACTACTGTTAACATTTTGCGCCGCCGCGCGCTTGCCACGAGCACAGACAGATGGATAGGAGGGATTTCTACACGCCAACGAAAGACACACACGCACACACACGTATACGTCTGTAGGGCAGAAGGCGACGATCGGCATTACCGTCGCTGCCGCTGGTGCTGTTACCAGCCTCATTGCTTCTGCTTCTTTCTACCTGCCACTGACCGAAGTCGGTAGAAGAAGCCAGCGTGATTTGGCCGACAAACAGGATCAGTGGCGTTGACGCTATGTATCTAGATATGTATGTCTGATCACTGATAGAGCGGATTTTGACGGGTGTAGGACAAGCGGTTTAAGTGATATATATATATATATATATAAAGGTATGCGTGTGAACCAGGGAATTATGGGATACATAATAAGTTCGCGCAGAACTCTTTATTAATTGACTCTACTTGAGCAACACCTAAATAATACCGTTTCATATGGGCCGGAATATCATTGCACCTACGCCTTGTACTATGTAAATGCGAAAGCTGGCTTAAGTAAAATAAGATGGTACATTTGTTCCTTTCTTCCTATACAGACAGTTAAATAGGATATTAAATAAAGGTGAATTAGAAGACGTGCGCGTCTTCTGGCGAGCATCCGGAGGAGAAACTGTTGGTGCTATAAAGCTTTCGATCGAGCGGGCCAATCGAACCGAACTGCATTAAATCTTCTTTCGTTACAGAGATATGACTGCGAGTCGTGCAAGACATATGATTATCATTAGAGAAGAAACCACTTAATATTTTACTTTACTATTAAGAGCTGATAGTGACAGCAAGGACCTACAAGGTGCCTGATCATTTCTGAGCGATCCAATGCCAGTTAGCGCCGTAAACCCTAGAAAAGGACAATTGCCGATTGTCCTTATACTCAGCACATCAAATCAGCGTGGTTCTTAGTAGCTTTCCAAATATCATAACACTATACGATAACGGTGGATTTTTTTTTCAAAAATGAGCAAAGGAGGCTCGTATGATATTGCAGTGGCTCGGCCGTACGTAGTTACATCACACAGAAATCACATCTTCCTGGTATGGAAATTTTAGAACAAGTACAAGTTATCTATATGTTCAACTGCGTGAAGTGTATAGGCACACGCGTACTGGTTGGTGTAACAAAAGCTTTATACAGCTGACTTTTTATCCTATCCGTGGAGGGAATGCACAGTAAGAAATAAAGACATAGTTAAGCTTATTTTTTTCGATATACTGTACCTTATTCACTTTTTGAGTGTTGTACTTTGATTGAAGGAAATTCTGCATCTTACCAGTTTGCAGCCTATTTATACGTAGTATACAGTAAACATAGTAGCTTGAGTAAACGTTCGTTACTGGCATAGCTCAGATCCGTATTCCCAAACAAAAATGGCGCATTATAACTTGGCGACATTGAATGCCGTATCTATATTTTTCGTACTAAATCAATATGATGGCACCCTTATGTCAATTACCTTTAGAAGTCAGAAATATTTTCTCTGACGCGCTATAGCTAAAATAGCTTGCCGGTCGAGAAGTACTGCGCAAGCCAGAGACTTGGGTGGGGTGTGGCCCCAATGCTAATTGACCATTTTTACATTTCGCCAGAATTTACACCCCAACATTCGTAGGCGGAAACGTTGACGGAATCGACATGATTTAAAGAACAGGCAAGTAAAATTAATTTTATGTTATGACGAGGGCCCAACAGTTACACATACATGAAATATCGATAATCATATATCTCTGTAAGCAAAAGCAGCCTGTTTCAGAAGTAACACGTACGCGAGCCACGAAAAGGCCCCTACACATAGGAGCATTTTCTCCACATACAACTGGGAGTACACTTCAACAAATTCAAAGGCTTGTGTTGCTAGTGAATAAATATACCTGCTACTATTTGTATAGCCCTAAAAGGCACGATTTGCCACGCTCATGTTCACGATGAGAGATGCCAACCTTGTCACCTATACAGTAGACATGCTAAGTTCCGTTTAAACTGTTTGGGGCACTGGACGTCTTCTCTACCCAGAACGAAAGTTTGATCATGTACTGCAAGGGGAAGACAAGCAAAGTTAGCTAAAGGGTTCAAATATTCTTTGATTTGCTTGATCGTTGGCCTAAAGCAGTCTTTCTTCCCTTACCATTATTCAATTTCGATACGTTTTCACTGTCTTTCTCACCGGCGACTGAAGAGGCTTGATGTTCAAAACTCAGATATTGATCAGTTTCTTATACTATACGGTCTCGGGCGACAGGGAATCGCACAGCTCGATCTCCTCCCAAATAATTCATGGTCATCTAGAGCTACAAGGAAGCATCGCTAAAACGGGAACCTTTTTTCATGGTCGAGATAGTATACGAGTAACTGCGAGGCAATGTTATTTCTTGCACGATTGGACACAGCCAGTCATCAGTAAAATTCATCTGGAGCCTGAATCAATCTACCCATTGTACACTAGTCATCCTCTCGTGCTGCTCGCATCAAAGCGGAAAGGGAACGCCATCCTCTAAAGAGTCGAAGGATCCTCAACTTCATCTACTAACCTATTGCCGTTATACGCAATCTACAAATAGATCTGTAGAAAGTGGACATACCCACATCGACTTCCCATCCCACACCACGATCGTTGTATTGATCTTACTATGACATTCTGCGTTATACGAGGTCGGGGGCCTAATCAAAATGCTTCCATGCTGTTGAAACGAATTCCCCTGGGACGTTCTGCAAAAGACATTATTAGTAAATGATAATGCCACTAGTAACTATTGAGCTTCAACACATAATCCGTTGATCACTCAACCGTTGATATTCAAAATCTTTCTAAAATACGTTAGTTTTTATGGCGGACGGCTCCCCTTAATTTATGATCGACCAGAAATTAAAGTCGATGCCCAGTTCGATACGCTTAGTTACAGTGTGCTTAGAAAAGTCAGAAGTGTAGAAGTTGAAGAGCGATTGTGAAACGTGAATCGAAGTACCCCAGAGGTTACTGGAAATATGCACGAGGGTAACTGTGACTAATGCAAGGTCCGCCCGTCCGTTTTCTTTATCTCTATGTAATATGCGTACAAACTTCTAACTGTGCTATACCAGATTCAAAGCCATATTTCGTCAATGTCCTTATGAGCCCGCCTGTGTCTTTGTGCTATTAAAATTAGCATACATCTTACGTGATGATAAAAAAGATCGTGAATGAAAAGCTTTACGGCTCGAAAGGCTGAATGTTCTGTATCTAACGAGACCTTTTTTGCTTTGACTCAGCAATAGTTAAGTAGTAGTCACGAAAACGACACGTTTGAAGTAGAATAACCTTGATTTAGGGTTGTTAGCCTTGATCCTTGGTGGGTTAGGCCACACAACGTCAACACATGCAGTTTATACGTGGATCATGTGCAGCCCGGAAATCACGCGGATGTCAGCTGTTGGAGTTTCTGACAGAAAGTGACTGGTCAATAGCTTAAGTCAATAAGAATTAAAAGTCTGTTAAATCGTTCAATTTCAAGAAAATTAATTAGAAAAATAGCATGTCTTTAATAACACATAAGGGCTAAGATGTTTTCCAAGACAACTTTTTCGTCGATTGTTCCCGAATTCGACTGTTTAGTTCCATAATATTCACACATTTTACATGAATAGGCGGAAAAATGAATTATACCCATGTATGGTACATTGTTATGACTTATGCTAGTACATTGTGGAGCTTTGTTGGTTCGTGCGCGACAGTCGTATGAGAACCTTGACAGCGAGCGAACCTATACGAATGTCAAACTTTCCCATTATCGCTCATCCGTGTTTGCAAGGCCAGCTGATGTCACCCGTCAAACGAGAGAATTTAGACTGAACAGAAATCAAATTTCCCCGTGACCACACAGAACATGTCATGTTCCTGACAGCGCCGCGTTTGCATCGGAATCGGTGTACTGATAGGGCGCACAGGAGTCCGCGTTCAAAACATAAGCTTCCTAAAAAGAAATCATTCTATTCAAAAAGCATTCACAGCCAATAAACAAACATTTCCGCGATGCGCATGCGCAACGGCAAAATTGAGTCGGAAAACTGAACCACTCAATCGTAAAATTAAAACACATAAATATCGATACTGTTTGGCCTATACGTTGAACTCGAGATAAATCGTTTAAAAGTGATCACCTTGTTTCTTCACATATCATAGGCTTTGAGCCTTCCTACGGTATGTAAAGACTTGAAGACACAAAGGACTTGAAATTTTATTTGTCGGCCCAAAAGTAAGTTGACAGATTGAAACACAAACATTTTACAAAAACGGATTTCCTACTTCTTGGGAAATCTAGCTCAATCCTGATCGATGACTGATGTAGGCATGTCAGTCCAGCTAGGGGCTGTTGTGGTGAATTTTTACAGACTTGTAAACTACGTGGTGCTAGTATGCGAATGCATACCTATGTTATTCTTTTTGAAAAAGGCACACTATAACAAAATGATGAAGCGAAAAATTATTAATATTCATAAAAATGAAAACACTATCCACAGCTATTGGTAGTGACACTTTATATAAAAGTTAGCATCATCAATATTATGATAATTATTATCATAATTACTGTCATAACCATTATGAACCCCCGCCCCCCCCGCCGCCGCACTTCCCCACCCCTTAATAATCTCGTGCGTCTGCGTTTCGTGCGCTTTTCTTCCATTTATTTATCTTTTTTTCTGTCTTTTATTTTTGTTGTGATTTATTTCTATCATTGTATCTGCACGTCAGTTTCACTCACAGTTGGGTCTGTGGATTGACCAGCCCAATCGATCCGGCTCAAAAGCCCGGGTGATACTGCTGCCCCTGCCATTTAGGCTATGAATATATATATATGCGTGTGTATGTGCGTGTTTGTGTGTATAGTTTATATCTGATTAAAAATCACCAACTGTTGCCGTTATTATCTTCTTTATCAATTGCGAATGTTGTTATCAATATTGTATTCCTGCGTATATTTAACACTGTTATCATGCTCACATTTTAGTACAGTTATCATTATCATTGAATGCTCAGCTTCCGTCATATGAAGTGGCTGCTTCTTGTAACTAATTGAGTTTTGTCGAAAAGAAGATGAGGCAAAAAAATCATACGATAAGTATTCGTCCTACCTTAATGATCTGAGCAGGCCACAACAAAAGGCAATCTGTTGCCCTGTTGCCGATGACCGAACGTTGTCCTCGATGCTGCGTGGACCTCCACCCATGTCGGCTGATAGTGTACTGGAGATCTACTCGTTGATTTACGTAAAGATTGCAGTCAGTTAGATTTTTCCGGATATTGGACATTACGCTTTATTAAAACATCAAGTCAACGTTGACCTGAGCCTACTATATCACCCAGTCGTAAGGAGCGTTCAGGCGCTTGTCCAGTTTCGGTCATTGTCCAAATTTTGCCTAAACTTTATCTTCTTTTTCAGTGGCTTCTCTATAAGTTGCACGTCTCCGTTGCGGTTACCGCATAACCAGTCGCATCGAAACTGGTGATTTTTTTTTACTATTACTATTATTACTTCTTTTAATACAACTAGTGCTCAACTGCTTTCAGACTGGGTGACAACATTAGCTTTAGCTATAGCGGTGATAAGAACCACTTAGACGGATAGTTGCCAGACAGGGATCCAACACAGCAGACAGCGTAGGCAGAAAGGCCATCTTTAACCACAGTAGCTGCTAAACCATTTGATTCGGCAAGGTTCGGTTTTTTTGGCTTATTTTTACGTTTAGCCTGACACGGCACTTGACTTGGGCAAAATAAGAAAACGACGATGCGTCAGACCCTGCTTCTCCCCAAGATGAAGTTGTTGCCCCCACAAAGGGTTATCTACTCCTGTCGGTGTAAGTCTATGTCTGATACTAGGGCCCGTGTCCGATCTACGCACGTCTATTTGATGCCTGGCAAAAGCTGGCTCAAGCCACCTAGGTTTTGCTAGAAGAAGTAGGCCGACGGCTTCCCGACTCTAAGTGCGAACGTTTCTGAGACGTTAGCAGGAAGCTGGCTAGATTTATACGCACCCCAGAATAGTCAACGCGTCCGGTGAGAATTGACTTCCTAACTCCTACCAGACATCGACCTATTGTCGGTTGGCTTAAATCATGAAACACGGGCCAAAGGGTTATAGACTGTCGAGTAAGAATCAGTTGGCTTCATCACTTCTAGCACCACAAGTAACTCGGCATGTTATTAGGCTGACATCCTGTATCAGCAGACCATTTTAAGGATCACCATGAACAAATATTTATTTAACATTGCTTTTATTCGTCACCGAGACGGTTGCGAACCGCATTTGCTAATGTCAGACAATTTATTTGAAATGCTTTATATAGCTTTTTATGTATAGGCATAAACGATATTATAGGCATATAGTCAAACCTCCAATTGAAGATATTGGCGTTGTCCTAGTTTAGTTCGTTGACGATAATTACGTAGTAACATTATGCCCATTTCCTTCGAAGGATTATGTTAATATAGCCTATGTCCCAGACTGAAAGCCGTGAGTCAATAGTATTTTACCACTAAAACTTAACGTTGCAGCATGTGAGCAAATCGATAGCAATCTCTTGATGTCCTTGTGGTCCTTTTGAAGTGCGGAGTTCTCAGGATTACTTATCTTGCTCTTCAAAAATACACTTGGCACTATATCATGGAATAGTATTGATCTTGTCAAATCATTGTTTCACTTTGCCTTTGGTGAACCCATTCATAGACCGATGTCTTATGATTCGGCGTTTGAAAATTGTGGATTTCATGGTAACAACGGTGTTGTGTTCTAAGTATTTCGGTGTTTGTTCTACGCGTGGAATTACATGGCCTACAAACGTCCACATAAATAGGCCGTTGAGTACATTAGTGATACGGACGTACCTCCAATCATGTTTGTCAGACCTGTCTATGGATAACTTTATTTCGTACGCTATTCAATAATTGCTTCGGTAAGTTGCGGTAATGCAGATTAATTTTCTTATAGCTTTCCAGCGGCCGCGTTCGTAAAATCGGAGTTTCATCTAACCACGTAGCATCTTCTGTTCGGCCGCCGTAGTAACAGCAGAAGGAAACTGGGGGCAAGAGAAAAAAAAGATCCACATATTTGCTCTCATGGTTTCATTCAATGGATGGGGATTTTTTCGCATGTACCATTAGATGGCCCGCGATAATTATTTGGCGCTTCTATTCTGTCCACGGTCCTAGCCGCCGCCGCCGCAGCAGAGCGATTTGATAACTTCTCCCTGCGCAGTTAGCCTAACTTATGCCGAACGCTTTCGAATTGTAGCACTTATCCATGCTCATCCTCGCAGCTAATGGAACACTCCGATTACCTTTGTATTCATCGATACGGTTGTTGCTCCGCGCGACACCTCTAATGGAACATGCCAAGATCTAGCGATCCAATGCTTGTGGCCTCTCCTTTCTCTTCTCGACGTCATTGACCGTATCATGTGATTGTTGATTGATTATTATCTTTATTGTGTTGTTTGTTGTTAGTAAAGCCATTAGTTTTACTGTTTACCACATAGATGTGACTGTTCGTTCTTCATTCATCGTACATTCACACTCTATAAAAATGTGACTGGCCAGTCACAGTGTAGCGTCCGCGTGTCGTCATGTGTGCGTCATATATAGCAAAGTGTTTTTCTTTAGTTAAAGAGTGTATTATTGACCATTTCGTATTATCATAATTATTAGAAGCCTTTATTATCATTATTATTATCAGTTAAATTCTGTGTTTTCTTCGGTTTTACGGCAGTTTTTTTTTTCTTTTCGCCCTGCTCCTTGCCTCGATCCGAGTCGTCATTGTGGCGTACAGCTCACGTCAGGATTCGTGTATTTATATCTATTTCTCTGCTTAACTGGTATAAAATGGATGATGATTTCTCCCCTTTGCACCGAATACAATACGCGATGTCACTGATCCCTCAAGATTAAGCTTCTCTAAACATTTCTAGAGAAATCTAATTCTCTGCCTACGCGCACGTACGTTCATCTAGGTGCATGCACTGAGATGCCCCTGCCGCTCGTCTTATACCAGCATTGTCATTACCATTATAAATATTACATTTTATTAGTATTCATGTATATGCCTTGTGTCATTTGCATTGTGTAAAACAGTTGAATCAGCTTTGCTATTGTTAGAATCGCGCGATAGATAATATAATTGGCGAAGTAGCGGCTTTTTTTTTGTTTCAAAGTACACAATGCTGTTTTAGTCATTCCCTATATATATATATATATATATATATATATATATATATATATATATATATAACGCAATTATATACGACTCATTTTTTCTTATCTTTTTTAGCGGACGCTTTTGTCCCTGGTGTCCACGTCTGTCTACTACTCCTTTCGACGACTACGGAATGGCTTTCACTGGCCGTTTCCATCGGCGCACGCGAAAGCTACAAATTAGGTAACGTTGCGGTTCTGCGATATTGGTGGACAAGCGTTCTACGTACTGCACTTCTTCTTCGACTTAGCAACTTAAGCACACAAGTTTGAAAGCCGCGCCAATGCAATGTACGCTCTACCTCGTACAATAAAGTTTCTATAAAAAACATTACTTCGACCATTTTCGAAGGTGTCGTAGTTATCTGGCTGTTTTTTTTTCTCATTCATTTTCACCATAAAAACGTTCGAAATGCAAAAATGTTACCAAAACAATTCGAAGCAAGGTAGCCAGCCGCAGACCGAACTGGGGCTGGTTATTTTTTTTAATAGAACGAGACATGATAGTGGTATCCCTATTATATAATATACAATATGCAAAAGTGTCGTCAGTGCAAGACTATTGTCTCCTAACACCAATGCTTAACTTGGAATTTGTTTGTTCGTCATCAGAGGCCTTCTGCACGACCGACAATCCTGCATATAACCTGGATCCATATGTGTTTCGTGTTCTCTGCTGAGTACTACTGGGTTTTATTTCATCATCAAAATGGGGTCACATCAAAAAAACCGTCTTATATTACTTCGCTCTTCTAATAGTTAGTTAACCACAAATAGAATATTACAAAGGAATAACTAGCATGAAGTTCAGTAACTTTCTATTACTTACAAATAGTGCCGTCACTGTTATACAACAATATAGAACTTCGACGATTTTTCCCATTCCTCTTCATCTTTTTTCAAGCGCTCAATTTGCACAGCCCTACGCCAAGCAGCTTCCGATTTGATAGGCAAAAATCGTGCTTTTCACTCTACATTTATCTTCCGTAACTATTGATTCGTACATCTTTCCGCAGATTTGCCGCCGCACGTGTGTTCGAGGCCGAAACGCGTAACATGCTATAATAACAATTGTCCATTACCACAGCCCATTGGCTTGTCACGTTCAGACATCGGAGGCGTGTGATGCTTCCATCGGCTTCGTGTATCAATGTAACCTATTCCATCAATATCCACTAATACGAGCGTTACTCACGTAATTGTTATTCTATGATGAATATTAGGAAGATTAATATTATTACCCTTGTGAGGCTCTAGCGTTGTTTTTTGTTGTAAATGGCGACCACTATCGGTATACTCGAGTGTTTCTGCCACATTTACATTGGGGCCTTGCGCGAAAATCGGGCGAATATATAATCATGCCGTTTGTCGCCGGTATCGTTTGTCTACTACTACAACGGAGGACTTCACTGCTCTATTTATATATTCGTTTGTATGTTTATTCTTATTCGTGTTATTTTTACATGAAGTCGCCGGACCGAGCGTGGTGAGATGCTGCGAACTTGCTGGTTACGCTCTTGCGCACCGTCCACAATGAGTTCTGGATGGTGAACGCATCTATTGTGGCGCTGAGATGTTTCGTATGAATCTGCGTGAATCCCTTCGAGCCTGAATTGTACTTGTAGAACAAGTCGAGCATCGATTCCGTAACGTTCTTGGGGCCTGCCCCGAAAATTTTTACTACTTCTTCTCTGTCCGGATTATACGTATAGATACCGCGAAATTGAAGGTTCGCACCCCGGAACAGTATCAGAAGGTGTTTGGCGTCGGTTGCATTTATTTCCTGTAAAAAGAAATGATACGAACTTTTAATGCTTGGTGATATAATATTACGCATAGACTACCCGAGTAAAAAAAAAAAACAGTACACATGCAAGGCGATCCTTTCTAATGAAATAACTGTGCCGGAAACTCGTTAACCGATTACGTGTGTAATTAGTTAAAGTTTAAATTCAGCCAAAGGTTTCTGAATTTTGTCAATTAAAAATAATTTTGTATTGACTAAATCGTAGCTGGTGTGAAAGCTAACCTAACCTAACAACAGAGTAATGTGAAGACATCGAATAGATAAGTAAGAATAACCATAATAAAAATTAGTCGTCGACTAAACGTACGGGAGAATCTCTGTATCTCACACATGTTCGCTACGACCTAGCACACGATAGTACCTTATCTCTATATGGTAAATTACAGTTGTTTCACATTATAAAATGTCGTCCGCCTACACACTAATTCATAAACATGCACCGTATCACAAAGAATATGTAAATCTGTCACGTTCGATTTCACACTCTCAGCTCCAACCAGCATTTCTGATACTTCCAGCAACAAGATAGTACTTGAGAACCACAAAGCCTTTGGCTGGATGCGAAAATCGATTCCGTTGCAAAAGTCAGGCCTATCGAAAAAAACCGGAAGATTTTTTTGCGCAAAAAAAAATGGCCAGACGTCTACTTGCCAATCCGCCCTTAAGCCAAAGTCGAAGAAGGCAACATCAATTGACCAAATACGAATAAAGGAAAGTAAATTCAGTCATAATAAACAAATGTAACTTGTATATGTTAAACGATAACATTAACAAAAACAGTCATCGTTCTAAATCAACATTATCGTCGCTCTTCTATCCAATTTACAATAGACATTACCTTTTAGATTCCATTACAGTATATTGTTAAGATGATGGAGAAGCGTATTCTTCCGTTACAAACACACAACCACGTACCAAAACACATTACGTATTCCATATGGGCAGCAAATGGAAAACGAAAGCCGGCCGGGATCGGGCGATCGGCCGGTCATCTTGGCACAAATCTGTTCGCCAAGAGGTGACTGCGTATATGGGCACATATATATACGCACAATGGTGGCACATCTACTCATATATCTCATCAACTTCAAGCCCCATAACACTTCAGCGAAGTGAATGCTGTGTTAGCTTGTAACATTACTACGTTTTCGAAGGCGTAAATGCGACAACAACAATGTAACGAAGACTGGCGGAGTTAGGTAACTGAATAAATATCTCGTGGGCACACTATTCAGTAGCCATTTATAAGGTAATCGACGCGATGATTCTGAACAAATAGTCAATATAACGGAGTTGTGCAAAGATTAGTGTCTGGGAGTCGGTCGCTTGTTGGATGAACGCTTTTCGAAACGTCGTATTCGATGGCTGAGGCGTATGGAAAAAATTGGCAGAACGAACAAGCAATACCGGCTTATTGAAATTTGCCGATAGTGCGTCAGGAAAATCTGTTTTTATTTTTTGTTATCTAGCAAAGCTCAATTCAGCTACAGAACGTCTATCAAAGGACTGACTGGTATTTCTTCCGTTTAGGCTATCATTGTGGGAAATAGTGTCTCATGGCCCGATCACAGACAGGAAATCATATACAGACAGTTTTTAATTGATTCTGTGTCCTTATCGCATCAATTTGTACATCTACATAGCCTAAGCATTGTTTCTACCATCTTCTATTATCTAAACGTCGTTTGAAAGACGAATTCAGCCTCATTCGAAGATAATGCGAAGATAGCACCCAGTGTTTCAGTAACATCAGCACTGCGCTTTACGTAAAGTGAAGAAAAGCAAATAAAAACGTAATTCGTTAGTTCATGAAAATTGGTTAATGTTGCATTAATCCGATTGATGTCAACTTTAAGCCATTTATCCGACCAGATAGTTTTTCGTTCGATGTTTCGTTTCGTGCTCGGTTTCCATCGCCCGTTACCTTCCATTTTCCTTACCATTCTTCAGCCACATGGCAATTCTCCGGACCAGCAGCAACTTTGTATATATAGTTGCTTTAATCCTAGATGCGGCTTACAATGGTTATAGAGGCAAGACGGCGACTTTGACCCGTCCTCAGCCAGCAGCGACTCTGCGATTCTCTATACTTTCTTAGTATTCTTTCTATGTAAAGCTACCCGTGAAAAACAAAACCAAGGAGCAGCAACGAAAACAACAATCACAGGGTGACATTGAACACCGATGAAATCGAAATGAATCGATAGATGCCCAAGTCGGCAGATGCATGGGCAAACTTTGCGAGGAAGAAGGGGTGCGTACGAGTAAAAAGAAAAATGAATAAACGACAAGTAATACTAGAAGTATTATTAATTTCGATGATTTGGCTACGTGTCGACAACCGGCTAGCTTGCCAACTTACTGGTTGATAGCGCAGCTGTCGGCTCCATTGGAGCAATGAGCGAATGGACAAAACGTAAGGAACGAAGGTGTCGAGGAGACGGGAAATTGAGCTTCTTTCCGTTCGCTCTTCCTCGTTGCCGTCTTGCAGTTTATAGCTGGTCGACTACGACAGCGGTAGCAGCGTTTGGCCCAATAGTATAAGTTTCTTTTGCTCAATCGGCTCTGGGTTAGCGCAGTGCCGCCGGCTACGATAAATGCCCGTTCAATTATATCGACGTCACTGCAGCCGCCACTGCTGCTGCGGCCATCGGCGTCGCTAGTTTGACCAGCGGTCGATCATAGGTAGGCCGCGCGGGTTCGTAGTGGCTGCTAGTTGTGGCCACGGCTTCGGCCGAGTCAGCATCGCCGTCGTCGCCATCAGCACCATCATCACGGGCGATAGCGCAGGCAACGGAAAAAGTATACGAAAAAATCGCCAAATATGAAGACGAAAATGAAGCTGGAAAGGATGAACCCGCCGATGCACTGATGCGTCGACGTCTGTCCAAGTGCATCGAGAGGCGTAGCAGGAGCTGGCTGAATGCGAAACCTCTTTGCCCCCTCCACCCCACAGCGTCCCCCGCCTTACGGCAGATCTCCGAATAGGCGAACTGCGACTTCGGTGGCACTAGCAGCGACAACAAAATGTAGCTGATTTCGAAGTTGAAGAAGGAAATAGACGGCGATCAACGGACCGCAGTCGCCAAAACCGCCATAGCCAGCATCATCTCCAACCACTAACGGTGTTAGGCGGCCCGTAATGATAATAATGTTACGAGTCGCGCACGTTCACCAGCCCGCCAAAAACAAACAGGCAAACACACGCTGCTTTACGCACACAACGGAAGAACGCCACGGCTATAACCGTAGCGGCGCCAGCGGCGTCGGTTAGGATAACAATGACAGCAATGAAACAAAAAAATGGGGAATAATAAAGAAATAAAAGTGATAACGAACACTAAGATTGAATTATGTCGATGAAGAGGTAGAATCGAAAGCTGCTAATAATAATAATAGTAGACGTCGGATTCCTTCAATGGATTTTTGCCGATAAACAACAACAAGCGGTCACTCAGTAGGTATGTGTCGCCGCGCGTATGTGTGCACCTTTCGGAATTCAGTGTATCCGTCCGTATTGGCGTCCGTACCTACGCCTGGGTGTATTTGTCCTGCGGCATTCGTGAAGTGCCTGTTGTCGTGTAGAGCTTCGTATCTGTGGGAACAGCGAGCTTGAACCCGTGTAAAAGCACCAGCAGCAGCCGCAACACAAATAGAACAGCTTCGACAAAAGTCTCTGGTATACACGTGCGTCGTTGTTTATGTAAGTCAGACTAGCATTTTCAATGGATGGGAGAAAATCAATGTCTGACAGTGGTAAATAACACATATACATACATATATATATATATATATATATATATATATATATATATATATATGCACTGGGCGGCAGCAACGAGGCGTCGAACCAGTTATTATTAGTACTGTAATATAATAGTATCCACATGGATCGGGCTATTTTTGTGGGCTTTTTTTTTTACTTTGTTTTTAGCAGCACCAGCAGCAAGAGCAACCTAACAGTTCATTTGCCCTCGTCGTTCCTTGTACGGCTATTAGCGATCGGAACAAGGTTCGGGTTTCGACTGGGACTTCTTTCACGCTTGCGTTCTATTGGGAGGACGCTGCTGTAGGCATCTTTGTCCTTTTGGTCTGAGGACATCACGGTCAGCACCTGCTTGTCGCTTGTAAGCTACAGGTAGCCGAATCGACACTGAATCGTGGCGTTAGTCACTTTTGGGTTTGGTGATGTAGACAAGGCGCTGTTATTACATCATCTCACCATAGTAACGAGCGGGTGTTCAAATTTTAGATCTGGAACAACCCGAGATGCAGGAATGGCGGCGTTGGCGCGGCAACGCGCAATGAATACACTGATGCACTGCAGCCGTTACCATCATAGCCTACTACCTATTGCATCGTGCAATAGAGAATATTTAGAAAATAAATGCCATAACATAGGCGACAAGTTCGTATACAAACAAAAATAATGTATGTAGTTTGTACGTTTTGCATCACGTGTTTATTGCCGAGTAACATTGCCACTGTTGAATATCTCTGACATTTGTAAGTTGACAATAGTGTTCGATACGATACCTGCTTACACTGGCAGAAAGCAGCTCTCGTTTTCCTACGAATGAGTTTAGATGGGTAACTAGTATTTTTCATTATTACATCTTGGATCATCACCTCGCTAGCTAAACTTCTCCGACTATGCGTTTACTGTTGTACCGCTAGGGGTGCCGCTGAATCCTCGCCGTTAAGGTGGTGTTCTTCTATAGACCTAATCAATGGTCTGCATTGAACGTGTACGCGGTCAAGAGACAAATGACAAAAGGTCTACTTCGGAGACGCTGAACCACTGCTAGCCTTCAGCTACCAATGTCACGATCATTCACAATCGTATCAAAATAGAAAAAGACTAGTTCCGTTTAGCGTTATCAATCATCCACTTTTCGCATTGCAAGTAGATTAAATATATAATAGAACTCAACCAAAAATTCTATCATTGGGTGGCAGCTTAATAAATCACCCCCAGGGAAACGGCGGCAAATATGAAGGGTCGACGACAAATCTCCTCTTCAATAGACACTGTAAAAAAAATCAGCCCACTTACTGTTGTTCAGACCGCAAGGAATATGGCCAGGTTATCGTCGTATCGAACGCGTGAACGACAGGTGAATCACGGTCCTAGGTCTACTCGAGGACATGAAATAACAGTCTGCAGTAAGTTCGTATATATACGTATACAACGTACATAGCGTTGGACCATAATGCGTTATGGGATATTGCGTGAAGCCTGGTTACGCCCCGTACAAATCATTTGTACCGGCGTTATGTAAGGAAATATAATCCCGAGGTAACCTCAATCGTTAAGTCGATTCGATACGCTAATGAGCAAAGGCCAAAAAGGCAACGCCATATAAATAAACGGCAATGATTTGATTTTAGAAATAAGCGTACGTTCTGCTCTCTCGGGTTACTGCAAATTGGGGCGAGGAGCCGACAGGCGCATATGAGTGGCTTGCTATGAATGGGTTGGACCTTGGATAACAAACAGGACTAAATACAGGACTCACAGAAACAGCCCTTAGTAGATGAACTAGGAAAATAGCAATAGATGGCGTAAATGGCGTAATTCGTAAGCGATTCAACTAATATGATATTTGATATATTGAACTGCTCACGATCACGCAAACGAACTAACGATACTTGGGAACTACTGAACAAAACGGACAATATGAATTCTTTTCTTTGACCGACATTCTGCAAAATAAACCGTTAAATTAGAGATGTTATCCTATTATTATTATATTAGGATATATTATTAACTAAATATATTAGGTATGAATTAGGAGGAGTAGCTGCTTGTATTCACGAACCCAAACCGTGGACGGGCAACTGGCTTTAGGACAGGGCAGACTGATGCTATGCCGATCCTACCACACAACGTACACAATTCCTAAGATTAATTATGGTACTAATGATAATTGTTCTTATTATAATAATTATAACAAGAATCGTAATGGTCGCAAGCATAGTGCTAGCTTATTTAGCTGACCTAATTTACTTCAGACTAACTAAGCGTCTCAGCTAGTTACTTTGCTCTGTTAACCGTGAACCTTTTAGAGACCCAAATGTTATTGTTTACGGTCGTAAAGGGTGCTGTAGCCACATACATTCGGTGTACCGAATTAAATGGTCAATTCTTTGTAACATGTACTCCAAAAAAATCCCCATTCGCGCTTCATAATCCGTCGCCGGCCACCCCCGGATATGATGGATAGTCTGAAGCGTGTTTAGGAGCTTCGCGTAGAAACTTAGGTAGGCTATACCCGTTGTTTAGAAATATTAACCCGACAGTAGCCAGCTAGTTAAATATATTGAATGCTAGTCACTGTCAACCCTTAACTGGGTGAAATTGATGTTCCAAAATTTCCAAGTTCCGGTGCACACGGTTAGCTCAACTACAGCAGTAACTTATTATTAAATGAGCAGAGAAATTCTGCAACGGTAATAATAGAGAAGTAGTCGAAATGTTAAAGGTGATACGATCGTGTGAGGCAACGACATACATTTCACACCGAAGTTGAATTTGTCGGCAAGCGTAGCTCTATTACGCACGATTTGTTCTGTAAATGTTTGCTGCTAGCTGGGTTATCGGAGCTATCACAGTCATGCTAACGGTAGACAAGTTACGGCAAACAACCGGACCACTTCGGCGTGGATTGTCCTGAATTACGTAAAAAAAGATCCAGCCTCACAGGACCTAGACACAGTATACTGCATAGTCGAGCAGTTTACATTAGAATTGTGATGCTTTAATCATCACTCAAATTGATAATAGTGATTCTTTCTCTGCTAGTGCGTTTTTCTCCATTTTTCCATAATTTACTTTTTGTTTTTATATCGATACATTTGTCAGCGTGAGTTGTAAAGCTGGTGTTTGATTTATGTATATGAAACGAAGTCTAAATTTGGCTTTAAGCGCAACTTCTATCTCGTCCGTTACTAAATATTAGGAAGGTAATTTTCAGCAGCGGGTGACGTGATCTTATCCTACAATCAAAAGAGTTCTGCTTTTGTTTACGTTGAACAAAGACTAAAAATTTGTCTCGAAAAGTCATGGGCCAAGTATACTCTTCTTAGATCCTTCTTATTTTAGAATGTGCCTCGAATTGGTGTGACAGAAACTGCAAACGATGACGGCCGTGGCATCCTATTTTGTATGAATGTACATGAATTCAGATGCCGAATAGTATCCACGATCGATAAGTTCCTTCAACGTCTCACCTGGAACGTGCAACGCAAGGTAGCTTAAATCTTTTTACTTACATTCGTGGCACGTTTTTTCGTATCAGCATTCACGGCACCTGCGAGGACCACATTTAGAGCATTAAGAATTATCGAACGATTGCTTTTGGCGCTTGGCTTGACAAACAGCTTCGGCCCAGTATACTCGCCCGGGAACAATGATGAAGTTGAAGCTGTATCGCTAGCGCCATCAGAAGGTGGGCCTATATTTCGGTAGCGACTGAAGTCCGGATACGAAGGCTCACGCTTAAGGCTACCGATTCCCACAGCAGCGCCAGTATTACCACGGCCAACTGAATCCAGACCTTGCTGAGATCCTCCCTGAAAAGATAAACAAGTCCAAAAAACGCCTTGTAAATTTAAGTAACGTTTTGTTTTTTCAATTACTGACACCGTCTCATCCGTTCCGTGACCGATTTTGTTTTGTGCATAAATCCATTGACGATATATGCGTAATAAAATCAAGTTAATGATTCCATCATATGATAGCTTCTTTCAACAATCGATTCGATTAAATGTTATTTGGAATGAAAAAAAAAATAACAATGTTGAAATGACTGCCAATGAGAAGTTCAACTGATCGAAGTAACTAAGTAAAGTTCCTCATATACAAACGGCAATAGGAAAAAGAGAATTTTTATAAATGATCTAAAATAATAGATACCATATACGACATGAAACGGAACAGTTCATTTAGCCATTGCCTACCTAATTAAGATATGCAACAATAATGAACGTTTATTTCGTAGCCAAAGCAACGACGTTTAGAAACACAGCTTTGTTTAACTTTAAACGTATCGTGCAGCATATCTCGAAAATGAGAAACTTGACCCCGTGCCGCACGTACACACTGTATTTCTTATTATTTTTACTTAAAAGTCTAGTGTGATGCGGCCCGTTGATACTTGAAATTTGTTTGTTCCTGCATAGAACTCTCTCTGTCTCTCCCGTTCTCGTGAATATTTATGTCCATTTTATTTGAGAACGCGCGACGAGGCGAACGGCCTCTGGTCGTTGTCTGACTCACTGCATCACCCCGTTAAAATTTAATCCATTTACTTCACGAACAAATCGTCGCTGGACACTTGTCTTCCAGAGCAGCACGAAGCAGCGTTCATGATCATCATCATAAGAGGCAGCAACGTCGCGACGGCTATAATACAGACGTCTCATTCAAAGGTCACTGAAACCATTTCTAGTACCGCCGCCTAACATTGTAGCAGCTGTAGAAATTCTACAGTTGAATCCACAATGTGAGGACAACGTCCGCTTGCACTCTTCAAAAGAAGGATCGAGGTAGTGCTAAAGTCACCTGCTAAGAACCAGGTTCTTTCTGCTGCCGAGGTCATGTTTGTTGTCTTCTGCGTGGATGAAGATGCTATACTTGTAGCATGTTTCAGCAGAATATGCATCCCGAAACTATCTGCTACTCTGTCCGTAGTATAATAAAACGTCTGCTGTCAACGTGGCGTTTATTCCGTTCGTTTTTCGGTAAATCTGTGCAGTTTCCAGACAAGACTCTGTCGCGGATTGCCCTAATGAATACTTATTTTTTTTCCGTAGATTTTACGGAATAATTTTAGTGCAGCCCTTGATGTACAAGTTTTTAGTCTAGAGGCATTCGGTACAGCCCCCCGACTTATGTTGCCGTTCGATCTCCACCTGAATGGCAAATAGCAAAAGAAACAGTGATGCCACCTATCTTCATAGATATAATGGTAATAATTCTATTATAATAATAGGCATCATAAACTATTATCTTCTCCTCACAAATGGTTAATTAGCTGCAAAATAATGAAGCATGTATTTTTAAATATTTTTTTTAGCTAAAAGTACGCCATTTAATTATTGGATTACCAATGAATTTTGTTCAAATATACCACAAATCATAGTTAATTAGAGAATTATCCACTTAAATTTATGTACTAAATCACTATTTCTCACAGAACTCAAAATCAGTTTACCTCTATATTTTTCCCTGATACGAGACAAGAACTTTTCATCATTCCTTTTATTAAAACCGCTTTAGTGAATACTCATATGTAGCTTCATTCGATGTATATGCCGTGCGTTCTTTCGTATGTCCGTCGTTTGTCAGTTTGACCGCACGAACGCTACACAGGTTAGCGATGAGTTTCGATGGCTTCAAGCGGAAAGCTCCCCTATTCCGTTAGCCACTAATCGAATGACCTTACAGACCAGCTTCGTTTCTTTCGACGAGTTTAAGTAAGTTTAACGTTGGTGTTCTGGAACGTGCGGTATATCCGATCTAATTAATTAGCTAAAAACCTACAGCCCGAATGTAGTCGCTACGAGACTGAGCACCCGTCAATTAGGCAAACATCATTAGGTAACTTTTGGGTTACATTGATTGCCTCTCTAGTTCCTGCATTAAGACAAATCGATCGACGTTGTTGATAGCTGTTCGTAGCCTTGTCGAAGATTTCCGGCGAGCAGAACACTCTTTGCCGCTGTCTCATTCTCATGTTTCGTTTCTATGGAAGACCCACTTGGGTCAGAACATTTTCATATGTTGTACCTCTAAATTTGCCAATACCTAGCCACCGTCCCTACTTGGCGGAGACCGACTACAAAATCTTATGGAATAAATCAGCAACTTGGCACGAATTCGTTCCACTTAATCTCGCTCAGCGTGGTCGCTATTCCATATCGCTGAGGGGTATTTTTATTATCAGCATAGAAGAGGCAGATCACATCCTTACGTCTGTTATTACCCTCGCCATTGCCTATGTTTTACTACAACGGGGCCTATTTGACCACTAGACTATCTGTATTTTTCTGCAGCAGATATACGTACTACTAGTAATAACAGTGATGATAAAAAAAAATGAACGACCCTAAACTTGGTAACAGCAGCGGCCTCATCGTTGCCACGTCGCGTCCTGCTGGGTGGGATGCTGGCATCGGGAGATGGAGAAAGAATCGCTGGGGTTCTCCACCCTTTCCTGCTAATTTTTCACAATGAACGTCTACTACGACATCTGACAGAGATGCATACTACAGCACTGGAGAACAAAGCACCACAGTACTGTCGTCTGCAAGGTTGTCGACAGCTTCTGTAAACGATTTCACCGCTATCATTGCCAGCGCCAGCGCCGTCACCGTCCCTAAGCGATACACCAAGTTATCTTCATCTTCAACGGATGTCTTCATCTTATTGCATTTCGTTGCTTTCTCAGTAGCTTCTGCTATTTCAGCGTTCTGCTGGTGCCGGTGGGACATTGGTACACCATACAGCCGACAGGCGCAGATCGCCTATGTGATGCATGTGCCTACATGCGTCTTCTCGTCGCCATGTCGAGCGCCATGTGTAGCGATAGACATTATAACACAGTATTTCCAAATTGACGACTGCGAATTTGAAGGCTTATGATCCTGCTGTGTCAAAAACGATAGTACGTCAACTGCTCGTTTAATAATAAAAGTGGTAGGCGTTTTTTGGAGTAGCTTATCTTCACAGTGTGTATTATGGTCGCTAGGGCTAACGGTACGATTAAAATTAGTGTTGAAGTACCCGCAATGGTCGTGACAACCGTTAGCTCGACGCGGTTCACGCCGTCGCACAACAGCGATTTTTATGTGAGCAAGCCATAAAGATAGGTAACTCCCACCAGTCTGTTTTTTGCTTTTGACGACACCCCAAACATAAATACACATATACCTATGATAGCCACAATGACGCCTACTGATAGGCGGCCATTAGTGCGAAAGTGGTTGGTAGAACTAAAGCATAGTAGTTTCAGTTTACGTCTGTAACTTCGCCAGCCGTAGCAAACGGTAACTACGTAAATGAGACGGTGTGATTTTTGTTTAGGGCCGTGGCCGCCGGCCAGGTCCGTCCAGGAATAGGACACATGACAAACAAGATGATTGAGAAGTAACTAACTGTTCTTAGGGTGGACAAACGAGCACAAATACACGGCAGCGTATGGGCAACTGCATAATTTACAGTGCCACAAGCAAAAACAATGTGAAATCTAACGACAACGACAGACGAGAACAGAAGTGGCCGTAACGCTTGATCTTTGCTATCGTCTGTGCAAACGCTCAGAGACGCGCGACGACCAAATAGACTGAGACTTAACTACTGCATTACGTGTATAGAATGAAAAAGAATCATTCAGGTACGAAGCTATCACATTAATGAACAAGTCGGACACAGTTGAACAGCAGATTGGGAAACACAGAGAAAGGTGGCCAGCGTGAGAGGGTAATCTTGGTGAACATATATCATTGTTCATATGTAGCACACAGGCCATGTTTTGCCTTAACGGCACTTGACACACTATCAGACTCTATGATTACGTCTAATCGTAAAGGGTAAACAAAAAACAATGCAAATCATACAGACGCTTAAACGCTTCAACACATACACACTTATCCTACCATCAGAGTTTTCATAATCGCATTAAAATATAGTATATATATATATATATATATATATATATATAATGATTATTACGGTTAAATGTCATGCAATCACAGTGGTGATAGAGTCTACTGGCGTCGACCTTTTGCCGCAAAGGCAATGAGTTGTTGGGAAGTTAAAAGGCACAGTAAATCCTATTAGAAATACAGGTTTCTATGCTTAATGTGTGTACCATCTCACTATAAAATGTGCTACATTTTTTATACGGTTGCTATTGTTCGCGTGAAGTATACGTGTGGTTAATGCTGGCAGCTTTAAGGAAAAGAAGTTCCGACAGAAGCTGCTGCGACCATTTTTGAATTTGTTGTTTTTACTTCTGCTCTGCTGCGGACCTCCGTCCACTCATCACTTAGAGGAATGCTCTGTTTATGTTGATGAATCTGACAGCCACCGAACTGAAGGTAGGACTGTAGTATAGGACACAAAGGCAGCGGGGTAACACGACAAAACGAAATCAAATTCGTATATTGCTAACGCAGCTGGCATGCGCCCAGTGGTGGAATTTTCACCCATCACAGGTCGAATGCCCTGCCAATGTCTAAAGATATGCATAGATATAGAGAGCTGCGCTGTATGTGGCCTGAAACGTAAGTCGCCCGTCGCCAGCGACACGTTGACTACAACGGTGGCGTCTAGGAGATACTGACGCGTCTAATGATGTAAGGGGGCATCCCCTTGAATGAATCGAAGCAGATCGCATTCCGCATCGTCGCGCTATTCGTAAGATCACCGATAGGTTTAGGGGGTTTGCCATGATCCGCAGGATGATGACCGGAGTTGGATGAAAAAGAGGCAATGGGGGCCTCAAGGTATTTTCTCACGATTCTTCTGCGTTCGGTGTTTCTGCGGATAGCGCTCCTGATGATATATT